ACTGCCACTGCCACCTTGCCGCCCCGGACTTCGACCGCGTATGTGAGGGCGAGGCCAGGTCGTGGGAGCGGGGAGACCCCGGTCCCCCCGTACTTGTCCGGGCTACCTTTGCTCTCCTTTCTTAGGACGGAGCCCCAGACTCACCCAGGCCGGTCTGTCGCTGCACCGACTTGCTCCTAACTCCCTATTTATTAACCGCAGTCGTACTGATCTTTCTTTCCGATCTGCATAGCCTAAGCCCGGTGTCTCCTCTTCCATTTGCTGTTGCCGGTTACCGGAGTTCTTCCCCCTACCTGCGCTTGGCCCGGCTGGGAATCCACTTTTCCTGACCCCCTGCAAACAGAAAGAATAATACACACACCAGATCAGAGTTACAAAGTGTCTTACCCGCTCTATTGGAAACCAGAGGCTTCTAATGGAGAAGGAAGAGCGGAGTCTATTCAAACAGAAGATGGGTGTAGGGCAGTGATGACCGCTGGCAGGTTGACCTGGCACATTGATGCTACCAAATGCTGGATGGAGCGTGATGGGCTAGAAAGAGAGAGGCATGAAAAAGACCGAAGAGGTTTGCAGGGACAGGTGTGGTCGGTCAGTAAGGAGTTTGGGTTTCATTAAAACAACAATGCGAATCTTGCCTTTTAAAAAAAAAATAGAATGACAAGATCTGATATCCATTTACTAATAAAAAATTTTGCTGATGTGTGGCAAACAGGAAAGCGAGGGTGGAAGCTAGAAAACCAATTTGGAAGCTTCTGCAGTATATAGACAAGAGGTGATGGTGGGTGCAGGGGAGTTTGAGAGAAGCAGATGGATTGAAGGTATATTTTAGAAGTAGGATCTATGTGCTGGGGAATTGGATGTGGAGAAGGAGGGGAAGCGAGGACTTGATGCTGTAGGGAGGACGGTGGTGCTGTTTCCTGAGCTGAGGGAAGGCCGAAGGAAGAGGTTTGTTGGGGAGAACACAGAGTTGGCATTTGTTGGAGCCTAAGATCCATCCAAGTGGAGATGTCATATTGTCATTCTTTTTTTTTTTTTCAAAAAAAGGTTTGTTTGTTTTTTACATTTTTCTTTATAGTCATTCTTAAATGTGAATCTGGGGTTTTGGAAAGAATTATAGGCTGAAGATAACAACCAGGGACTCATTAGCATAGTAATGAATGACACTTAAACCCGTGGGTAAGATCACTTCAGGTGAGTACAGAGAGAGGAGCATAGGGTCCTGAAGTCAGAGGAGAAAGAGCCAGTCAAGAAGACTGAAAAGTAGCAGCCAATAAAAGAGTGGTGTTTGCAGGTGAGCAGTGTTGCAGAAGCCAAGCATGGAAAATATTTCAGGAAGGGAGGGGTGGATATCTGAGGAGCTCCTAAATCCGGGCTCCTCAAACTACGGCCCACGGGCCACATGCAAATACAAATATTGTATTTGTTCCCGTTTTGTTTTTTTACTTCAAAATAAGATATGTGCAGTGTGCATAGGAATTTGTTCATAGTTTTTTTTTAAACTATAGTCCGGCCCTCCAACGGTCTGAGGGACAGTGAACTGGCCCCCTGTTTAAAAAGTTTGAGGACCCCTGTCCTAAATGCTGCTGAGGGGTAAGTAAGAGACAGGGAAGTGCCCTCCACAGTTGACAGTAACAGTTTCTGTCTCAGTGGAGTGGAAACAGATGCCAAATGTTACTAAGAGAAAGAAAGAGGAAATGAAAGGTGGGTCAGTCAGTGTAGGTTCTTCACATTCTACCACACTGTTACTTGCCATCGTTGTCATTCTTTACGGTGCCTCAACTACTAGTACAGTGATATACACAGCCAAAGAGCAGCTACTTACTCATCTAAAATAATTGTGATAACTTGTGCTTATTTTAGGATCTGGATGATGTGTTGGAGAAAGCCAAGAAAGTAAGTCAATATCTATAATTGCCCCTTTTTGGTTTTTGTTTTAGATATGCTATATTAATGCTTCAGTAAGAATAAGTTGCATTTATTAAGTGTTTACTGTGTGACAAGTACTGACCTAAGCCCTTTCTGTACATTATTTCATTTAATGTTTCACAACCACCTTCTGAGGAACCTTCTATTTTTTAGGCAGCTATTGCCCATTTTGTAGATGAGGAAACTAAGGCCTAGAGACTAACTTGTCCAAAAACATACCGCTAGTAAAATGATACAGACAAGATAGTCTGAATCGAAACATTGCTGGACTCCATTCATTGTCTTCACTAGCTGAGTTTAGACAGACCCCCAAAAGCTAGTAACCTTTGAAGTCCTAGCAAAGGTCAGAACTGTGCACCACCCAGTTAATCTAGGAACCACCCAGTTAATTTAGGTAATAATAGTTGAAGCATCATCCCCACCTTAGTTCACTTAATTCCTTAGATACTTATGTAGATCCTTGTTGACTATTGTTGATCAGATACTCTGCCTATTCCTGGAAATCATCTACTGATGAGCTAATCAGATACTTTGTCTATTCCTGGAAATTGTCTGCTGATCTGTGTGTCATTGAAACCTCCTTACCCTAAGGGCTACTCCAGATCAATAAAAGATTGGAGCAGCCTGAGCATGGGTGGAAGTCCTTCGGGACTTGCCCGCCTGGTCCTCCAATATTGCAAAATTATCTCGTGTCATTTTTCTCTCATTTGTTGTGCGGCTCCTCTTTCAGATACCGAACCCTACTCCACGCAGAATGTGGAGGGAGTGTTACTCGACAAAACATGTTCCCCCAGCCATCATACTTACCAGCAATATGGAACAGATTATCCGTCTGTTGGTTCTAAAATTAACATTACCCTGGGGATTTTGGAGAAATGATAAAAGTTTTGGGAACCATTTTGATTTGTTTGAGAAAAATTATTAATTTTTGGAAGTGCTTATGAAATTCATTATCACTAGCATTTCATGGTCTTCCCCCAAAGTATTAGTTTAGAAGCAGCTGCCAGTATATTTTTATATTCAAGCACCTTTCACTATGACATTAATTAGGAGTGTAGGCTTTGGAGTTACACAGGCCTAATGATCTTGGGCAAATTATTTCACTCCATCCAGAATTCTGTCTCCTGATCTATACAATGGATTATAGCAATGCCACCTCATAAGGTTGTATAGATTAAACTGAGGTAATATTTTTTTTTCACTGAACACAGTGCCCGAAACATAATAAGTATTCAGTGATAGCCATTATGATTATACTGACGGAGTATGGATGAGCAAGAATAACTAAAAGCACAGAAAATTTTATAATTCTGTTTAATTATATTGGATTATTGCTCAAAACTCTAGCTAGTCTATTCTGTTCTTTTTTGTTTCAGGCCAATGTTACGGCTCTTGTGGTGGTCGCTGAACATTCAGGAGAATTTGAAAAGATTATGCAGCTTTCAGAAAGGTGCGACTTCTCATTAAGAACTTAAAGAGTTGCTAATAAGGATGCAGTTATGATGTCATGTTCATGATATCAAAGATTATCCATTTTTAAAGAGAAAGAGAAGGAAAATATTAACATAGCCCTAAAAAAATATTTCCTACTTATTCTTTAGAGTAACATTGTCTGCTAGTCTAATATTCGGCTTCTCAATTCATTCTACACTGTTAGGTATAACAGGTTTGTCCTGCCATGCTTGGGTGTTCATCCAGTTCAAGGACTTTCACCAGAAGAACAAAGAAGTGTCACATTAAAGGTAACAGTAACAGTCAGATAAAACAAGAACCATGGAACATGATAATACCTTTGACTCAGTCCTTTACTTTCTGATTTATAGTGTAAGACAATAATCTAAAAGAAGGCAATGCTACCTTCTTTCCCAGAGATGTTTGTTGCAGAATTACCTGTAATAGAGAAAAAGGGGGAATAGCTTAAGGGTTCAGAAATAAAGGAATAATTAGTTCGCTTGTAGAGTAGTAAATATAATGCATTTATTAAAAATGAAGACTATAAGCCCTAACTGGTTTGGCTCAGTGGATAGAGCGTCAGCCTGTGGACTCAAGGGTCCCAGGTTCGATTCCGGTCAAGGGCATGTACCTTGGTTGGGGGCACATAGCCAGTAGGGGGTGTGCAGGAAGCAGCTGATTGATGTTTCTCTCTCACCGATGTTTCTAACTCTCTATCCCTCTCCCTTCCTCTCTGTAAAAAATCAATAAAATATATTTTTTTTTAAAAATGAAGACTATAAAATTTATGTAGTAACATGGAAAATGTTTGCAGTATAATATAGGGAGAAAAGCAGGATACAGACGGTTTATTCACAATGAGTGGCATCATATAAAAATATATCCTATAAGGAAAAGACTGTAAAGAAAAACAGAAATGATAGTAGTTGTGACAATCTTGTAGAATTACATGTGATTTGTTTTTACTTTTTTTATCACATTGTTATATTGATTTGGCAGAAAGGTGATAAAGTATCCAGAGAAAGAAAGATACCAATTCATAGATGTAGTACTGTGAGGGAACAGATGAGCTGAAGTACACAGTATCTTTGAACGTTGAACCATCCCTATAGGAGTGATCTTGATCTACTAAACTGCATGGCTTTCATACCCTCTCTAAAAAAGATCCTACCCATGAGATATCACTGACTCACCATAGCCTTGACTCCTGACTCAGCACTGGGGAGATGCACAGTTTCTTGAGCGCTTTATTACATATTGGGATCAACAGCCCCATTTTGAAAAAGTGAAGACTTTGTGTTATCTATGAATAAATTAAGAGATGAGGTCCATTCTTTCGTAATAACGAATCTGTATCCCTACATTTAAATACCCTAAGTAGCTCTACTTATTTTGCAACAAAATTACATTGAATTCAACTTCATGTAAAAATAAATACTTATTCTGTAACTCTCCTGAGTTGTTGATGTGATAAAATTTCCCCAGAGAGTTACAATTCCGAAAATGTTGGGGATCATAGCAGGATGGCATTTGTTTCATTTATGTAGAGATTTATAGCTATAGGCATTCATTTCGTTAGTCAACCAAGTGTGTACTGAGCTCCTACTGCATTCCAAGCACTTTAGAGTAATATCCCTCTCATGAAAGTAGGTTCTAGATGGAGGCAGACAATCAACAATTAGATACATGAACAGGAAAACTTTTGGTAGCACTAAGTGCTTTAAAGACAATAAAATAAGATTATGTGATAGGGATTGTGGATGCTAGTTTTTAGATTGTGTAGTCAAGGAAGGCCTGTCTGAGGCGGTGACATTTGAACTGCAACCTAAATTATCCTCAGAGGTACCTTGCAACTCACATATCTTAAAAGAAGCAAATTTTCTACATATTTGCCTTTCCCTTGTCTGACAAGGGAAACCTCAGAGGGCAAATTCTCTAAGTGTAATAATAATAGTATGGAAACTAATGGTACACAGTTACTTCAATGATTACAGACAAGCACATATATGATACTTAGTGTTTATATTGTTGAACCTGTAGAACAAAAATAGGCTAAACAGGATTATCAAGACAAAAGAAATCAGTGCAAAGAGTACAAAGAGTGTATGGGATTATCACTATGACAAACTCACAAACCAATGTTACCCTAAAAGGAGAACATAACATAATGTACTCCCCAAACCTCACTTACAAAGGTGGCTTTCTTCTCTCTTGTTCAGCTATTCCAGGAAATCAAATCAGTCCTTCTATATGCTAGGAAATGCCTCCTAAACAGAAGAAAGTGTTTAAGTGTGAATCTTTATAAACAGTTTCATTCCCGTGACCTGAATAGGTATGGGATACTATCCAGATAGAAGTACTCACCGTTCTAGAATTACTATTCCTAGTTCCTCAACTGGTTAAAGGAATAGAATATGTGTAAAGAACCAATACAGCATAGTGCCTGGCATTTAATAGGTATTTATAAAATATCAGTTTCCTTCTCCGTCTGTTTTAACAAATTACTTTGTTTTCTCCCAGGATTTGGATGTAGCTTTGCCCATTATCGAGAATTATAAGGATCGATTATTGGCAATTGGAGAGGTAAACACCCATTAACTGATCAAATGACTTCTGATTCAGACTTTCATGTGATATAGGAAAAGAATCTTTAATTCAATATTGGTGATTATAACTAACTTGGATAATTATGTTCACCCTATCCAGCTGAATAATAACTCATCAATACTTCCTCAATAAGCAAAAGAGCTTGGGGATGAAACAATAGAAAGCCTCATCATAGGCTTATGTTAATACTTTATTATCATTTCTATATACTATGCTCTTTTTTTGCTTAAATATGGGTCATCTCTCTAGTTAGTTAAAGTAGTATATACAAAGCATACTTTAAAGAGGCTAGAGTGTAGTCAACATTTTTATTAAATAATTTACAGTTGTAAAACATTTTTATCACTTGGTAATAAATTCCACTTCTAATTAAAAATAAAGATAAGAGATAAGAATAACAGTTAAATTCAGAATATAGATTATAACAATGAATGCCAAAATATATCAAGGAAAGCAGTCATTTATAATCTTTCCTGTTCGCTGTGATGACCACATGTAGCTATTGAGCACTTGAAATGTGACTGGTCCAGATTGAGATGTGCTCTAAGTATAAAACACACAGAGGATTTCAAAGTCTTAGCACCCCAAAGAAAGAATGTAAAATAACTCAATAATTTTTATATTGATCATGTGTTGAAATAATGCATTACTGTATAGTAATAATGATAATGTTTGGGAGTATACTGGATTAAATAAAGTATATTATTAAAATTAATTTCACCCATTTCTTGTTAGTGTTTTTAATGTGGCTAACTAGAAAATGTGAAATTATATATGTGGCTTGCACATATGGCTCCCATTATCTTTCTCTTGGATAGTACTGCTCCATAATATGCCTTTTGGGGTTCATTAAACCATGAAAAATGTAATTCTATTTGACTTCTCTGTTATAGGTGGGACTGGATTTCTCCCCCAGATTTGCTGGCACTGATGCACAAAAGGAAGCGCAAAGACAAGTCCTAATCAGACAGGTCCAGTTAGCCAAAAGACTAAATTTGCCTTTGTAGGTTAATTAACCATCTTCCGATATTAAATGCTATAGAGCAAATTAAAATGATTCTTTTGAAATGGAGCTCTATATTTCTTTTTCTCTTAATTACTTTAATAGAACAAAATAATGTCACATTAAATACTTAAAAGGAATTTTTTTGTTGTTAAACAGAAATGTTCACTCACGTTCAGCTGGAAGACCCACCATCAGCCTCTTAAATGAGCAAGGTATTTACATCCTGAGACAAATGTGCCTAATGTTTATGTTTGGTATTCCAGTCCATCTTCTCATAGAACAGGCCATGTTTTAATATGATTTCTTAAACGAAAGGAAATAGGGGAAGGGGGAAAGAGGAAGGGAGAAAGGGGAAGTCAACTAAAGTGGTTTTACAAGTCAGTCTACTTTTTACAAGGTTTTCAGTGTGATTGTGATATTTATAATCATTTGCCAGGGTAAAACAAATGAAAAATTGGATTAAGTAATTTATAACCCTAAAATTAAAATGTATCTTATAGCATTACTTTTCAAACTTTTTGAAGTGATACTAATATACACACATATATACTTTTTTTGGTATTAAAAGTATGTGTATACACTGGTCAGTCTTGACCCACTAGATGGCTTTCATAACTCACTTGTGGTTATAACCCACTAATGGTCATACTTGCCATTCGAAAAACAGTATCAAATAGTGAAGTAAATGTACTTGCCTACATCTAGAAAGCATGGTATTTCCCAGTAATGAGTGCTGAACCCTTTGGGATCACTGAGAGCATGATTTTTACGCAGGCTGAGCAGCCATTCTTTAAGAACCGGAGGCGATTTTATGAAGCTAATGCTGATTAGTCAATTTGTGACTCATTTAGCTCCCCATTTCCTCTTCCACTAGCATTCTCACTGAGGACTATTTGACTGCTTAAAAACCTCCTATTAGGAACAATAATTTGACAGTTCCCAAACTTCTGGAAAATGTTTAATGGTATAGGAAGATTAAATAATTGTTTAAAATTTTATATTTCAATTGTATTTAATAATTTTATTCTGAAAGTTAAGAATTGTTAGTATATTTCTATTCTACTGTTTGAACACTATATATTTATCCCTCCTTTAGAAGTCATAGAACCTCATATTTATATCACAGTGACCAAATTTCTGATCTTTGCTGTTCAATTTGATTAATGGAAAAACCGCTCATTGAGGACATAAATTGAAATTCTGATCTATCTTTTATTTTTGAGAGGTGCTGACAAAGTGCTGCTCCATGCATTTGACGGTCGGCCATCCGTAGCCATGGAAGGAGTAAAAGCTGGGTACTTCTTCTCGATCCCTCCTTCTATCATAAGGAGTGGACAGGTAAATTCTTTCATTAAACTTCCACCTATACTTTGTGAAATACACTTTAAAATAAAAGCTTCTATATTTTATATGTAATATATATTTATATATAACACTTGTGATATTATTCTAGTTATATTACAAAAATCAATCTTAGGTCCCTACCTTATGTCAATATCATATTATCATGATTACATTAGATTTATAAGTTTTGAAATCAGATATTATGAGAATTCCAATTATTTCTTTATTTTCAAGATCATTTTGGCTATTCTAAGTCCCTTGCCTTTCTATCTACATTAGAATCAGCTTGATTTCTTAAAAAAAAAACTGGCTGGGATTTTTATTGGAATTACATTAAATCTATAGATCAATTTGGGAATAATTGATATGAACACACCATACCTCTTTATTTAGATCTTTGATTTCTCTCATCAATGTTTTATAATTTTCAACATACAAATCCTGCACATATTTTGTTATATTTACCTCTAAGTATTTCATATTTTTCATTCTATTTTAAATGATACTGGTTTTAAAATTTTAGTTATCAATTATTCATTGCTAGTATATAGAAATACAGTTGATTTTTTAAAAATATATTTTATTGATTTTTTACAGAGAGGAAGGGAGAGAGACAGAGAGTTAGAAACATCGATGAGAGAGAAACATCGATCAGTTGCCTCCTGCACACCCCCCACCAGGGATGTGCCTGCAACCCAGGTACATGCCCTTGACCAGAATCGAACCTGGGACCTTTCAGTCCGCAGGCCGATGCTCTATCCACTGAGCCAAACCGGTTTCGGCTACAGTTGATTTTTATATATTAAACTTTTATCAAGTGATCTTACTGATATTCATTAGTGCTAGTAGTGTTTTGTAGATTTTTCAGGATTTTTTTGTAGATAATCATGTCATCTTTGAATAAAGATATTTACTTTTCCCCTTCCAATATTTGTGCCCTTTATTTCTTTTTCTTGCCTTATTTCACTGGATACAGCTAGTAGAATGTTGAATAGAAATAGTAAAAGCAGAAACCCTTGCCTTTTTCCTGATCATGGAAAAACATTCATTCCTTTACCATTAAGTGTACTATGAGCTAGTTTTCTTTTAGGGTTTAAGGAAGTTCCTTCTGTTTTTAGTCTGCTGAGTGTTTTTATCAAAAATGGATGTTGGATTCCGTCAAATACTTTTTTGACAATATATTATCCTTTTTATAGTTTCTTAGGTAGAACCTTAGATTATTTGAAACCTTCCTTGTTTTCTAATAAAGATATTTAATGCAATAGTTGCATTAGCACTAACCACATATAGTTACAATCCACAAATATTAATTTGATTGTTATAATGAGGCTCTGTTTCTTCTAGTATAAGTATTGATATGGTCATAGGTTTATTTGTGATCTTTGCTGTATTTTCACTTTCTTTCAGTTCATAACGTTTTCTAATTTACCTTGAGACTTCCTCTTTGACCATAGTGACTATTTAAAAATGTATTGTTAATTTCCAAATACTTAGGAATTTTCCTGATATCTTTCCATTTCTGATACCTACTTTAATTTGACTATGTTCAGGAGACATTCATTGTATGATTTTACCTCTTTTAAATTGATTGAGGTTTGTTTAATGGCCCAGAATATGATCTATCTTGGTGAAGAGAACATACACACTTGAAAAGAATGTGCATTCTGCTATTATAAGATGGAGTGTTCTACACATGTCACTTTATAGTCCAAGATTATTTTTATTTTTCCTACTTTTAGCATTTGTGGAAAACTTCTTATTTAGTAGTAACCTTTAGCTGTGGCATGTTTCTTTTTCAAAACTAAAATACATTTAAAGATAATATTTGTACATTATAGAAAATTGAATCAATTCAGAAAAGAACAAATTTTAAATTAATCCAGATTCTACAATTCAGAAACAATCATTGTTAACATTAATTCAGATAAAATAAGAAGATAATCTTACTCTTTTTGTTTTGAGTTAGCTTCATGGGTATCTAATTGTATCAATAAATATGGACCTATCTCATCTTTAAAATGATAGTATGGCCGTAACCGGTTTGGCTCTGTGGATAGAGCGTCGGCCTGCGGACTGAAAGGTCCCAGGTTCGATTCCGGTCAAGGGCATGTACCTTGGTTGCGGGCACATCCCCAGTAGGGACTGTGCAGGAGGCAGCTGATTGATGTTTCTCTCTCATCGATGTTTCTACCTCTATCCCTCTCCCTTCCTCTCTGTAAAAAAATCAATAAAATATATTTTTAAAAAAATAAAAATAAATAAATAAAATGATAGTATGATATTTCATAATGTGGATGTACCGTAATTTATTTAAGCATTACTTTAAGTAAAGGTTAGACTGTTTCTAATTTTTCACTGTTATAAACAGTGCCTGAGTGAATACCTTTGTACATCTTACATATGCACACTTGTGCAGTTTTCCCTCTAAATGGAATCACTGAGGAAAGGGTGTACATTTTAAAATTTGATTAAACTGTTACGTTTTCTTTAAAAAGTTTATGCTAGTTTAACTTTTATCTACCAGCAGTGCATGAGCATACCTATTTCTGTGCCTCTGAAATTTTAATCTTCAAACAATTCATTCTAATAATATTCCACTCTGCATCATGTGTCTCCCTGCCATTTTTAACTTTAACAGTGCAGTGGCAGCAAAAGAATTACGTTCTTGGTATAAAAGTCATTGGGTTAATTGCAATCCTTATAATCCAGACAGAAAATTAAAAAGAAGAAAACAAAACCATCCGCCACCTAATCTAAAAGGTGCATATGAACTTTGGATTTATAAACAGAAAGCCCGAGTGGCTTAAAGTGAACAGTAGGAAGAAGCACCGAGTGTGGTGGAGAAGCAACAGAAGTCTGTTCCTGAGCTCTCTCAGTGGGATGGTGATGTCCGGTGTCTGACTCCCTTGCTGGGTGTGCTATTGGTTACTACTCCCTGGGTCCCTGGAGTCTCTGGATAATTTTTGGCAATGAATGTTGCTATTTAAACCTGTTAGTAATAGAATGAGAACGTAGTGAGCATGTATCAATTGAATATTGAAGCATGAATTTTAAGCTCTTGCAGAGTAGAATGCATTGGCATGTGGGTTTAATGTTCTTTTTAAAAAAATTCTTTATTACTCTTTTTTAAACTTACTAGCTTTTTCTTTTCTCTAAGAAGCAGAAACTTGTGAAACAGTTGCCTTTAACCTCCATTTGCTTGGAAACAGATTCACCTGCACTAGGACCAGAAAAACAGGTAAGTCATTTTCTGTTTTCCACATGATTGAGATCAAGTATGTAAAACTCGCAGCCTCGTTATGCCTGGGGCACACCAGCCGCAAATTTGATATGCTTGATTTAGATTGTGTCTTTCATTTGAGCTAATTTTGATTTGTCTGTGTTTCTCATCACAGTGTAAGTACAATGGAATCCTATTTTAACACTAGGTTGAGAGGTTATATCAACTTAATTTCAGGTCTTTTCTAAATATAATTGTTATGCCCCACAGAATAATATTTGATATGGACCATGTCCTCGTCTATGTGGTAATGAAAGCCAGACCAGTATAGCAAAAAGTTCAATGTCAAGAGTCAGAAAGACCTAGATTCAAATCCTGTCTCTGCTACGCACTAGCTGTTTGACTTTGAGCAAGTTACTAATGTCTCTGAAATGTTCTTCACTTATAAAATGTAAGCAAAATAGTAAATACTTTGAAGTACTATAGTGAGAATTAAATGGAGTAATGTATCTAGCAGTATCTGGTATATAGTAAGATGCTCAATAAATGCTTATTTTTCTCCTTTTAATTAGATTGTTATAATGAGGCCCTATTTCTTCTAGTACAAGTATAATAAGTGTATAATATTCCAGTATGTGAATCTACCATAGTATATTTAACTTGATATTGTGATTTGGGTTGTTTTCAACACAATTATATCTGATGAATGTTATCAGGTTATTTTTCTTAAACTTAATAGATATTTTATTCCTCTCAATGTTATCATCCTAAGTAGATAATAACAATAATACATTTCATCAAATCTAAATGTACAATCTAAATGATTGTAGATGCACCACTGTTTTGTGAACATTAGAATGAAAAAGAAAAACACTGCCAGTTATACAATGACATATCATTGAATCCAAGTAAAATATGTATCAATTTCAGAGATGTTAAAATAGGAGGGAAATACATCTTAGACTCAGTGAAATACCAGTACATATCTGTTTAGCCTTCCAAATATGTACTGGTACTTCTTGAATGTGTACGGTGACATTTCTTGAATCAAACTGTAATGTATGTAGCCTGTGAGGTGAAGGGGCCAAGCAGCAGAGCAGTGACCTTTACAATCACTCAGTTAAGCAATAAACCAAAGGACAGCTAACCCATCAGTCATGCAGGTTGCCAAGTGTCCACTGTTTGCAGACTGCTAGATGCTGGGACCTCAGTTGTTAATACCCCACAGCTCTTTTCAAGAGCAACATAGACTTACAGTCAGTGTGTAGTTATAGCTTCTAAGCTGAAGTTCAAGACTTTCTCCCCTTATTGCCTCCCACCATCCCCCACCCCCATTAAAAAAAGAACTCATCGGCTGTGCTTACCAACTCATTTTCTTCTATTTTATCTACAGTCTTCGAGGATTGCTTCTTTTGACAATCATGTTTGATTTAGTGTCTGCTTTGTTCTCTTTCAGGTACGGAATGAACCCCAAAACATTACCATCTCAGCAGAATATATTGCCCAGGTGAAAGGAATCTCAGTGGAAGAAGTGATGGAAGTGACAACACAGAATGCATTGAAATTGTTCCCCAAGCTCCAGCACCTGCTCCAGAAATAACTTCAAAGCCAAATGAACTGAAGGGGGCATTTGAGAAAAAGAAATGTTCTGGCCCTAGCTGGTTTGGCTCAGTGGCTAGGCAGTGATGACGAACCTATGACACGCAAACTCATTTTTTTGGTTGATTTTTCTTTGTTAAATGGCATTTAAATATATAAAATAAATATCAAAAATATAAGTCTTTGTTTTACTATGGTTACAAATATCAAAAAATTTCTATATGTGACACGGCACCAGAGTTAAGTTAGGGTTTTTCAAAATGCTGACACGCCGAGCTCAAGAGGTTTGCCATCACTGGGCTAGAGCGTCAGCCTGCGTACTGAAGGGTCCCGGATTCAATTCTGATCAAGGGCTTATGCATGGGTTGCAGGCTTGATTCCCAGTAGGGGGCATGCAGGAGGCAGCCAATCAATGGTTCTTTCTCATCATTGATGATTCTATCACTCTCTCCCTCTCCCTTCCTCTCTGAAATCAATCGTACTGAAGGGTCCTGGATTCAATTCTGATCAAGGGCTTATGCATGGGTTGCAGGCTTGATTCCCAGTAGGGGGCATGCAGGAGGCAGCCAATCAATGGTTCTTTCTCATCATTGATGATTCTATCACTCTCCCTCTCCCTTCCTCTCTGAAATCAATAAAATATATTTTTTTTAAAAAAGAAATGTTCTGATTAATAATCTGAACTGAAGAAACCATTATATAGGGATAAAAAGATTATAATTTTAGAGAAATATTTGTCATTTGTTGTTGTTAATCCTCACCCGAGGATATTTTTCCATTGATTTTTAGAGAGAGTGGAAGGGAGAGGGAGAGACAGAAACATCGATGTGAGAGAGACACATTGATTGGTTGCCTCCTGCATGCTTTCCAGCCAGGGCTAGGGATCAAGCCTGCAACCGTGCGTGCATGCCCTTGACCAGAATCAAACCTGGACCCTTCAGTCCACGAGCCGACCCTATATCCACTGAGCCAAACCAGTCAGAGTGAGAAATATTTGTCTCAAATAAAACTGAGCTTGGATCCTGAAACCTTGAGTTCTAATTCTACCTTGCACTGCTTTTCAATTAATGGACTCCTAGCAGGAGGTTGGGAGACACTGCTGCTTCTTACCTTGCCCCGTTAAATAGAACCACCACATGAACTGAAACCATTTTTTCCAGCAAGGGTGGCTCCCACAGGTAATCATTTTCTAGCCTTTCTTGTAACCAGGGCACTGATAATATGACCCACCCTAGATTTTGAATGAAGTGAGTCACACGAGGAAGCCAGGACTCAGGGTGGCAGTATGGCAGCTTGGTGAGGTTGGCATTGTTAGCTGCAGGGTCTGTGCCCACAGGCTGTGTTAGTAGAGTCTTTATGCTTCTAGTTCAGCGGTATGAATTGGCTTTTCCACCCTCCTGGAGATTTTACTAACTATCCATTATCCTTCAGTAAATGCATTTTCTTCTTAAATTAGCCAAATTTAGTTTCTGTTGCTTGTATCTTTAAGAACCCTGCTTGATGAGGAAATTCATACCCTGAAGTAGTTATCACAAAGAGACCATTAGGGAAAGGAAGGAAGAGAAGGAAATCTGAGACTCATTTTAGTGCCTGGATCGCTTTCCAGGCAGCAAAATACCAGTTAATTGTAAGGGATAAGATACTGCCCGTCCATAGCGGATGGTGACCAATGTTGTGAAAGCATGTTAAAAAGACACTCTATGGCAAAAGGATATGTGCTGATTTGGGGGCAGCCCAAAGGGTACTGCATTGAACATTTTTATTCTTTTTCTTCACTTTTTTCTGTATTTGTGGAACCTCTTACCTTATGAGGCAAAGCTCATCTTCCACTGTGCCTGGCTCTTCCCTTTGGACCCATCTTCCATGCCAGCAAAGAAACGCAGCTTCCCCTGCCCTGGCCTGCAAGACCCTCTCGAGGGAAGAGGCACTGGGTGCTGGTAGCTTCAGCAGCAATGGCAGGCCACGCCTTAGCCTTTTCTGAGTACCAGGGATGCCACAGAGGGCCTTCCTGCACAGGCATTAATGGCCTTGACTTGGAACTCACCGAAGACAGCTCTGCCGGGAGGCGGAGCGAAATGGAGGGAAATGACTGTCTGCCCATCCCCCTGTGTCTACTGAGGGAACAGGTGCATCAACAAATCTGAAACTCCTGGGAGGGGCAGAGAGGTGTCTGGACTGACTTATGACTTTTGATTTTCTGGTTTTAGCCTGAGGCTGTTATAAGGTGTATACAGGAGGACAAAGTAGAAACACCTAAGGGGGAAGTGGAGGGAGAGCTTCCAGGAGAAGGTGGTATTTAAACGAAAGTTAGCCAGGTGAAGGGGGGGGGTAAGAGAATAAACAGAGAACCCCAAGTAGTTCCATAAAACCAGAGGTGCATGAGGGAGGAGGCAGAAGAGGACTAGAGAGAATTAAGATTGGAAGGTTGTTGAGTGTATTATACATAACCTGACACTCATGTACTATGTATTTATTCCCTGATTCATCTTAGAACGAGCCAAAGAAAGGATGCTGTGTTTGATAGTCTTTATGTGGGCAGCTAAGTGTTCAGAGATAATTCCCCATAGGTCTCCCATTTCTGTGTATCTCTGGGGCAGAGACACTGACAGCTTTTGTTCCAGATTATCTTTATTTGAGAGAGAAACATCAGTTTGTTATTCCACTTATTTATGTATTCATTGGTTGATTCTTGTATGTGTCCTAACCAGAGATTAAATCCAAAACCTTGGCATATCAGGATGATGCTCTAACCCACTGAACTACTAGCCAGGGTCCAGATGATCTTTTCAAGGATGTTTATATAGCCAAGGGCCTTGGAAGACAGATAATTTCTCCCACTGAAGCAGAGGCAAGTTTATTCTTTCTACAATATAATAAAGAGCATCTCTTCCTCCAGTCAAAGGTTGGGTTTCTTTCTTATTTTTTGTGTTTTGTTAATTCTCACCTAAGGATATTTTTTCCATTGGTTTTTTTTTTTTTTTTTGAGAGAGAGAGAGAGAATGGGAGGAAGGGGGAGAGAGAAAAAGACAGGGAGACAGAGAGATGTGAGAGAGACACATCGATTGGTTGCCTCTGGCATGTATCCCAACAGGGGCTGGGGATCAAACCTGCAACCCAGGTATGTGCCCTTGACTGGGACTCAGACCCAAGACCCTTCAGCGAACAGGCCGATACTCTAATCACTGAGAAACTCCAGCCAGGACAAAGGTTGGGTTTCTTAAGCTCAGAGATTTTCAGCTGTGAGGCAAAGCCTCTGTGTGCATGGCATCTCTCTGGATGACTTCACATTATTTGGGGCTGGAGGGTGGAGCGGGGGAGGGGCAGAGAGTACCAATCAGAACATGATGCTTGTGCTGCTTGCTGTTGTGGAAGAAAGGGCCACATGCTAACCTGACAAGCTCGAGGAAGGCCTGCATGGCAGTCTTGCAAACACAGAGACCTAAAGTAACCACAAAGGATGGTTTGAAATTAAACTTTAACTAAAAGCAGTTATGTCCTAGGCCCATATCGTCACTGACATAGTCAACCTTTACCTTAACTAAGCCTATCTATCTTTTTGCATCTATGATAACATATCTTTGAAATGTCTGGGTAACTTGTAACTTCCCTTTTTCCTGACCCCTTGGGGCACACAACCTAATGTGCCTGGGTACCAGGACAGATGCCACAAATTCCTTCATTGTTATTGTTATCATGTTCATTGTTGACTGTTAACTATTCTGCACCCACATAAGTATGTGTCCATCATTTTATTTTTTATCCAATCCCAGAGGTCCATCACCCTCCCCCTTTGCTTTCTTCCGCCTCTCTAATCTACCACCAATGGATTTCATGTAACCCACCTATATCCCCTCCTTTGATTGCAATGTATAAAAATAGATTAAAAAAACCTCTATTCTCTAGAGCAGTGGTTCTCAACCTTCCTAATGCCGAGACCCTTTAATACAGTTCCTCATGTTGTGGTGACCCCCAACCATAAAATTATTTTCGTTGCTACTTCATAACTGTAATTTTGCTACTGTTATGAATCGTAATGTAAATATCTGATATGCAGGATGTATTTAGGCGACCCCTGTGAAAGGGTTGTTTGACCCCCAAAGGGGTCGTGACCCACAGGTTGAGAACCGCTGCCTAGAGCATTATCCCAATTCCCAGCAATTGTTGACAGTTTGGCTCAAATAAACTCACAAAAATTCTTTACAGGTTTTTACGTTAACACTGTGCTCTGAGCAATAAAGTCCTTTGCCTCTGAACCAAGATTCTTATGTCTTCTGTCACCAATGCCCCTGAAACTGTGGTAGGCTAACCCTTCATAGCTCTTGACACTGGAAGTTTTGTTGTTGTTGTTGTTGTTTTTTGAGAAGCAAAAAATTAGCTTTGGGCCTGGCTTTTTAATATATACCCTCAGGGTCAATGAATCTTATCCCCACTGTGCCCTGGTGCAGTCCTAGCTGAGATAGGGTTTTAGGCCAGTTGACTGATACATATCCTTTACATATTAATATGCTTTGGCTTGTGAATCTGAGCTTTCTATGGAGGAAAATGGCAACCAAATCAAAGGTGAATATTTCACTGATATAAATACAAATGCAAAGCTGCACCTGGGTTCCAAGCCAAGTAGTACCCAGCTTGCCATATGGAATAACAGGCTATTGGCTCAAACTGCAAAAAGGAACACAAGCCACGTCAAAACCTGAAAATTAGTCTGCTACCTAAGAAGGAATGACACACAGATAACTAGCAATGTTCACTTTGGGGATGGACAATAAAATGAAACAAAAAGCTCCACCTTGTTAATCTCTCAAGTATGTACTTAGTCAAATTATCAAAATCCTTGCTCTGAGTTCATGCAATTCAGTGTTTAGAAGCAAGTTGTTAACTTTGAGGATTAGTGGGATTGGTCGACATACTCCACCAATTTATAGAAACAAACTATTTAAACATTTTAAATTAATAAAGAGAAGATCACCGTAAAGGATCTTTTAGGTGATAAATATTTCCAAGTATCTTTTTTTTTAAAGTTTTATTGATTTTA